ATGGTCATTAAGCATCCTACCCTTCTTTAGCATCCTACCTCTTTTACTCATTGGTTATTCATCCTTCTCTTTTGTGGCCCTCGTGACGATTTCCTGTTTATATTTTTTTCAGAAACAAGACTATAAGATGGCCCTCAGGAAGTACCTGAAGGCTTTGCGCTATTTGGATGTATGCTGGGAAAAGGAAGGGATTGATGAAGGTGGGTGTTAATAGTTTTTATTATTGTTTTTCTCTATTATTGTATATGGAATAGACAGCAGCCCAGTTTTTCATGTGCTGTTGAATTGACTCACTCACTTCTCATTTTCTCTCTCCTCAAAGCAGATAAGAGTGTTTATTTGAGAAAGATGAAGTCACAGATATTTACCAACAATTCTGTAAGTTCCCTTTTCAAGTTTTTTCTTTTCTTCCTTTTTATCTTTTTGAGGTAGAGATTGATTTTCTTTCTGTAGTTGCAAGGTCTCCCATCATTAATATGAAAAGTAATGGCCAGAAATATTAGGGCGTCATTTTCTTTCACCTCTTATGCCTTTTTTATTTCACTGTAACATTGCTGCAATTCTTTTGTAAGATAGATTTTTTTCAATTTTGAAGAAACTGAGAAAGTACGATCTAAAAATTTTCACTTTGATTAGAGATCTGCATGCTTTATTAATTTATATGGTTGAGATGCTTTCTTCTTAGACATTTTGGTTGATTTTTAGGTGTTAGTTCATGCTTCATATGATTCATTGTATTGGGTACTATTTGTCAAGTCCCATAATTGAAATTGTTTTCCTTGTACCAGGAAAGGAAGTCAAATTTAATGTGGAAATTAAAAGTTGATGTCTCTAATGTTTTGGGGGATTATTATGATATCATATTTTGTATTTTTATGAAATTTTGCTAAATACACATCTAACATTCCACTATACTGGCAGAGTAGCAGTATATACATACTGATGTTGGTTATTGTTGGCAATGATGGGTTGTACACTTTAGCATAAATATTGTAGTATTGTACTATACACTTCATTTCAAATGAATCTTGTTAATTGCATTTTGGCATTTCACCTTGTCTAGAAGGGAGCAACGATTGCATACTCTTTTTCAGAGGAACTTTTAAATTTTCCAAGAATTGATTATGTACATATGAATTTTTATACGGTTTTATATTTTGAGGTTTAATGCTTCTGTCTTTCAGCAGTAAATTATGCTTACTAATACCTGGTGTGCAATCTTTCTTAGGCTTGTAAACTGAAACTGGGAGATTTGAAGGGAGCACTCTTTGACACAGAATTCGCTCTTCGTGATGGTGAAAACAATGCTAAGGCCTTGTTTCGCCAGGGGCAGGTTGGTGATTTCTATTAAGAGCTTGTTTGGGATAAATTAAAATCCAATTAAAATTGAAAATATAGCCGTTATTGGGTCTCATTCGTCTAATAAAAGTCAACAATAACGGCTAGTTTTTCAATTTTAATACGATTTTAATCTCTACCAAACACACTCTAACTAGAATAAGAGTCTGATTGAAGTAGGACATAAGCTTTTATGAAGCTGTTTTTTAATATGAAATTTTCTTTAGTTCGTTTTGTTTAACTGATGCTTCTAATTGTCACATATATTCCACGTGCCCATGAGGCCTGATCATGTTATTGGGTGCAAAATGTCAATGAATATTTAGGTACAAGATTGAATTCTATGTTGTAAGCTTTTGCATCAGTTGTTATGATACCATTCTAGGTGCCTTGACAAGACTTGTTAGTGTCCTAGTGGCTGTTTGTGAATTTAAAATGACAAGGGAATTTGAGAACAAAAATGATTTATTTTCCTTATAGTAAACTCCATAGTGTGCCTCACTTTGAACCATAATCAACATGTGTGCAGATAATTCAGGGCTGAGGCAAGATTAAAGCCATGCAAATTAATTCTCTCTCTTCAAAGTCATTACTGAAAATAAGGCATGTTTGGGGGGCTAGAAGTTTGTTGTTAATTTCAGTATTTTCTTGACCCTTGTATGTTTTGGATACAAATCAGAATTTTAGTAGATTTTGGTAATGGTTGGTAAAATATGTGGTTGAAAAGTTGATAAAAATTATGGTCCTATGAAATATGTGGTTAAAAATGAGTTTTAAGAAATGGGGGCCAAATAGGGGCTTAATCTTTTGAAATAGATTAACAAAGAATGGGTTGGGCTGAGAGTTTAAGTAGCTATGAGAATGCTTAAGAAATATCAGAGCATAGTTATCAATTATCTTCATGAGTTTAACGGGGCATATATAAGATATGGAGAAGATACGGATGGGTTGTCATAGTCCTTCATGGTGGAGTAATCTGGCTAAAAAATCTGTATACGTTTGAAATTTGTTCCTCTAATTTTCTTAAGTTTGGTAGTTCCATGATCTCACGTTCTTACTCTAATACAGTTCTTGTGTCTATAATTCTGCTTTTTTGTTTGTCACTTTTTGTTCAATTCATGGATTGCCTTCATGAGACAATTCAAAGTACTCATCTTTGTAGCTTTTTTAATTAATCTTGTTAATTAATTAGGCATACATGGCTCTCAACGATATAGATGCTGCAGTAGAGAGTTTAAAGAAGGCATTGGATTTGGAGCCAAATGATGGTGCGTTACACTCTTTCGTGTTGCCTTTTCCTTTATTCAAGATCTCTACATATTTCATGTAAAAGAATTTTATATGTTCTGCTCACCCTTAGTTTCTCGTATTGCTTGAAAGAACAAGCCCAAAAGAGGAAAAAACGAAGTTTAAACATCAGCTTACTGTCTCCGATTTACTCTGTTTCATTGTGGTGAAAATATATGTTTTGGATGCTTTAAACTGTCAAAGATCTTTTTTTCTATATTATATTAGATTTTTGGAATTGAAATTACTGAACTGGAGAAGGAAAAAAGGGTTAAAAGAGTCTTCAGGCTCTTGTATGAGCTTTATATCTGACTTTATGCTTACATTAATGTAGGAGCAATAAAAAAGGAGTTTACTGCTGCAAAGAAGAAGGTATGTTTTTTCCTTAATTCTTGGCGTTGAATGATCGTTTTTTACTGGATTGATGTTATCAACATGGTGCAGTTCTAAGAAGCATGAATTCGGATACTTAATTTGAATACAATACGATATGGGTACGTCGATAGAGCTTTTTAATAAAATTTAGGATATACGGATATATGTGTGTAAATATATTATGTATGTGCAGTATTTTTCATAAGTTAAATATAAAATTCAGCACTGTTTCATTATTATAAAAAACATTAAAACAGAAGTCTGATGATAAAAATAAAATAAAATATTAAAGCATTTTATCGTAGTTTTTAATTGTCCCAACTTCATTTTTTTGGACATCACCACCAACTTTTACATTATCATTAAAAATAACCTTCTTCAATTCTGACCCGTCTAATAATCAAAATTAACAACTTCAAGTATCCCAACACCTTTAAAAGTATCAAATGAGTTTTCGATAATGTCTCACATTTTGGATTCTCATTTTAAATAATGATTTAATTTTCTTGATAAAAGATGCAAATAGATATGATTGAAAACCAATTCTTGAGCACATTATGGAGTTAATTTATATCCTTGCGTAGAGTGCACAAAAGAGTAGGTACTTCTTGTTAATTAAAAAATATTATCTATTTTTAATAAGTTGTTGATATTAACAATAGTTATTATTAAGTAAAAAAACTGTCATCTATTGCCCATAATTATATAATGAGTTTTAGAAGAGTTAAAACCAATAAAACTCTTCTTCATGTGTCCTAAGGTAGGTATTCAATACGTATTGGAAATTAAATAAGTATAAAAAATATAAAGCAATTAGAAAACACGTTCCGGGCATATCGAAGAGTGTCCAAGCATATTCAAGAATGGATGTGTATCAAATACGGGTACGTAATAAGCTTACAAGTATCCATATTTCTTTGGTGTAGAGGACTGATTGTGCCTTTCTTTTTCCTTCTTTCTTTTTGTGTTTTTGTGAATAGATTGCTGACAGACGTAACCAGGAGAGAAAAGCCTTTGCTAAGATGTTCACATAATGATCAAGTAAGCATACATGCATATAGTTTGAGGAACCAAAGAAAGTTTCAAGTTACCT